CGAATGACAATGAAACAGGCCAGTTTATCCACACCAAAATTCACATCATCTACGAAAGGAGAATGTATCGCTTCGTCCTAAAAGCACTCCCACGGGGAGCGCATCGGCCAGCATCAAGGTTATGAATCCCCAAGGGCGCTTCGTCTCCATCAAGTGAAGTAACCCTTTCGTCTAAAGACCAAGGCAAAACCTCTTCGGCCACCGAGCACCTTAGGCTCACGCAAAAGCCAGCCAGAAAGGAACAAGTACTCCCTTTCGCTTCGGCTTCACCTCAGCTCAGAGAGTGGGGGACTCTTGATAGAGTATATGGGCCTGGACCCCATGGCCCACATACTCATTGGCCCAAAAGACACCAGCAAGATACCCGCATCGGCCAAAGGCACGCGACGTCCACAGAAGAAGATATCACCCGGATTCTTTGGGTGAAGCCCAGAACCTGCATCGTCTATGGACCGCATCGTCCAAGACCGCATCGTCCATGGACCGCATCGTCCGGACTTCGTCTAGGCAGAATGTATTTTTCATTGAATTTACTAAGTATTGTACACAGCCCATTAGTGGCCTTATTTCGCCCAAAGAAGGCATGATTATTGTAATGGGCCTCCTAAGCCCAAGGCTAGGAGCCCAAATACACATTTTTACCTATAAATAGACCCCAAGGGGCTAATTATAGGGGTTGGAAGTTGAGAAATATAATTACTCACTTTCTCTCTCTAGCTCTCACTTCTCTCTAGAATTAATACTCTATCGGATTTCTTGCGCCTTCTACAAAACATGATGGTTCTTCTATAGATAAGAAGCATAGACTTACCTCTTCATTCTCCTCCCTTGTTGCATCATAAATATCTTGCAATGATCTGAACTTCTAATGGCTAGCACTTGAATCAGAACTTACAGAAGATCTTGGTGTACTTAGAAGAGAATCATGTGGTGACTGAAACAATGATGAGTCTGCCCTGCCTCAGATGAGCTAGTAGAGAGGTCAATATCTCCCTCACCTTCTGATCCTCCTACCTTGAGTGTGAAATTCTCTTCACCAGCTGTACTACTGTCTTTTTGTTGTTCCCAGGGCCATCCTTTGTCTTCTTCAAATACTACATCCCTACTCACTATTACTTTCCCAGTCTTAGGATCTAGCAGCTTCAGCTTGTAGGCTTTAGTTCCTTCTTCATACCCAAGGAGAATTGTTTTCATGCTTCTACCTGCCAACTTGGTGAGATGAGGAGTCACAATCTTTGCATGAGCTATGCAGCCAAATACTCTTACATGATGAACACTGGGAGTCCTTCCATACCACATTTGATAAGGTGTTTCCCCTCTACAATTTTAGTTGGAGCCCTATTTAGCAAATATACTGAAGTCCTGACTCCTTCTCCCCAGTATTTTGCAGGCATGTGTTAGCTTTTTAGCAAACTCCTAACCATCTCCATGATGGTTTGATTCCTCCTTTCCACCACTCCATTCTGCTGAGGTGAGTATGGGGCTGTAAGATGCCTTTTGATACCTTCATTGTTACAGAAACTATTGAAATCTGTGGAGTTAAATTCACCCCCTCTGTCAGTCCTGAGGCACTTCAGTTTCTCACCTACTTCATTCTCAACTAGGTGTATGATCCTTTTAAATGCATTTAGGGTCTCTCCCTTTTGCTTCAGTAATGACACCCACATGAAACGTGAGAAGTCATCCACTAGTAACATGAAATAATTATTCCTTCCAGGTGTTGATGGTGAGATGGGCCCACACAGATCTCCATGTATGAGTTCAAGTTTAACTTCAGCTCTAAAACTTGCTTTCTAAGGAAAAGAAACTTTGTGTTGCTTGTCTATCATACATCCATCACACACCTGATTAACATGGATGATGTTTGGCATGCCTTCAACCATATTCTGACTTTAGAGCTTCTTTAAACCTTGAAAGTTAAGATGACCAAATCTTGCATGCCAAAGCCATGCCTTGTCTATTATGCTTGTTAATAAGAATATCTTCTCTGCAGCCTTGAGGTTTGCAATGAACAGTCTGTTTTGCTGCCTCTTTACTTTAATCATGAGTCTATTGGACTTGTCATAGACCTTTAGGTATCCTTCTTTGATGATGACTTGGTCTCCATTCTCATCAAACTGCCCTATGCTGAGAATATTGCTTCTCAGTTTGGGTATATACTATACATTTGGAAGAATCAGATGTTCTCCATCTTTACATTGGAAAACTACTGACCCTTGCCCTTGTAAGGTTATGATAGACCCATCACCAAATCTAACTTTGCCTTGTGCAGGGTGATCCAAATCAGAAAACCAGCCTATTTCTCCTGTCATGTGGTTACTAGCACCCGAATCAAGAAACCACCCTGTCTCTCTTTTCCTGCAGTCACCAACATCTTGTACTTCTGAGTTATTCTTCATGTGTGATTTGGTCAGATCACATGACTCAATCATCAAAAGTGCAGGTTCCTCAACTTCTTACTCCTCTAAGATGTTGGTTTGTTCCTCTTTTTCTTCTGAGGGACATTCTGAAGCAAAATGCCCCATCTTTTCACAGTTATAACACTTAATTTTTGATTTATCAAACTTCCTCTTTTGTTGACCACCACCACCTCTACCTCTTCCACGTCCTCTGCCCCTTCCTCCTCTAGAACCCCCTGTATCCCTGCCAGTCTTCTTTTGAGAGTCCTCTTCTCTTGCTCTCCACTCAGTCTGTGTAAGGAGAACAGTATCCTCATCTTTGATTCCACATACATCCAGTCTTTCTTCATGAGCTTTAAGAGATCCAATAACATCCTCCATAGTTTTTGTTTTCAGATCTCCAAACTCTTCAATTGTGGATGCAATTTGTAAGAATTTAGGAGAGGCAGATCTAAGCAGCTTCTTCACAATTTTTTCTTCTTTTACTGTGTTCTCCAAGCCTCTCAGTTTGGTGATGATGATCTGAAGTTTTGCGGAATATGCATCTACACTTTCAGCATCACTCATCCTCAAGCCTTCAAACTCTCTCCACAAGGACTGGGTACGTACCTCTTTCACTCGTTCAGCCCCAAGATTCATGGTTTGCAACATGTTCCATGCTTCTTTGGCAGTTCTTTTGGCTCCGAGTTGAAGTAGAGTATCTTCACTTATTCCCTGGTAAATGGCTGCCAAAGCCATCTTGTCCTTTCTCACTTCTACAACATCTTTACTCATTACAACATCCCATACACCCTGGGCCATCATGAACACACTTCCATTTTGATGGCCCAGACAGCGTAATTAGTTGTGGTGAGCATGGGGTATTTGAGTGTGATGGTATCACCTCTCTCTCTCTCTACTATTGCCTGAATCATCTTGTCTTTCTTTAGACATGAAGGATCCTTATAAAAGTGGCTCTTATACCAAATGTAAAGATTAAATCAAACACGCTACACTATGAAACTCAAGAAGAATCAAGCTTCACTCAGGAAGAACAGGGACACAAGCTTATCTTTCTTTCAATCTTTTCTTTCATTCAAAAGGGGAAAAATCCATTTCATTCAGATTAAAAAACCCCTTAACAAAACAAACATAAATAGGAGTGGAAGAGAGCAGATAACTCCCACGTAACAACTTCCTAAGAAAACTCTTAAGTGCGTGCATGATGGGCTTGACACTTTCAACATGCACCACATGCACACGTACAAACTTAATAAAGCAAAGTAACATATAAAAAGCTCTTGAGGACATAACAAAAAACCGTGACATAAGATAAATGTAACAACAAGTTTAAAACATAACAATCCTTGCCTCTAAAATTCAAAGAAATTTATATGACCCAAGGAAAGATAGCAAGATCTAGTCTGGAAACACAGATGAAAAAGTTATCGTGCAAGAGAGACGTGAACCTTCCAATCTTGCATCTTCATACACCGGTTTATTTTTTGGATGAAAAACACATATAGTTTGAATACAGATTCCAAACAGAATCTTCCACAGAAGTAGATCGAGTCGGTCAACTCTCCGAGCAGGCCTCCGACGAAGATCTGGTGTCCCAAGTAATTCAGACCACCTTCGCTGAAGATATGAGCCCCAACCTTGAACTCCACCGCCTGCTCAAACTTCATCCCATTCTCGGCCAACAGCTCCAGGATACAGCCCAGCGCGCCTAGCGTCGCCTACCTGCTGTAGATCACCTCCAGCTCCCAGTTCCTCGCAAATATTTTCGGGTCTGTGGGAGACCTGCGATATTCCATCCATAGTCGCTTGGGAACTTTTTTTTCTGTGGGCAACCTTCCCATAGAACGGGCTTAAATACTTGACAGGGTAGGTGGGGTTATTAACCACGAAGTGGATGACAAAGCTTGTTTGTGACAAAGCTTGTTTGATACTCTTAAACCTAAGGATAGACAACTATATATAGAGCATTGGGCATAGAGTGAATTTCCCTTTTAACCGGTTAATATATGGACACATACATGGTTTTAACCTACGGATATCTCTATATGGTTTGGCCCACCTTTACTTGTATTTGATGTGACTTTTTTGAGCGGGAAAATTGCATGAAATTCCACTTATTTTTATATATAGATAGACTAGTACCCCATTTTTGTTATTTTTATCTTGTTCAACATTTACGTATTCTGTGAGGTAGTTGATGAGAAGTGTCATCACAACATGTCTATTTGGGAAGTTTCCGAATGAAATTGTTTTATGAAATTTTGTGAGAATGTTAATCATAAAGTGTAGATTATATCCACAAAATTTCAGTTTAAAATTGAATCAAGAAGGCAGCGAAATAAATTATTGAATAACACTGCGACAAAAGGTATATAAAAAACACAGTGTTTATCAATAATTTACTTAAGTGACCTCCCGAGTGAATTGTAAACTTTTACTCCGTACGAAGTATTTTGTAGACATAATGTGATCATAAAATTTTATCAAACAATTTTGCCTAAAAGACCTGGCTCAAATAGACAATTTTGGACAATGGTTTCCATCAGAAATTCCTGATGTGATCTTTTTCCACTTCGTGCGTATATTTATATTTATATACAGGTTGATAAACTATTGAGTAATGAAGGAATCAACGTGACTATTTACAATGGACAAGTATGACTCTAACTCCTTGAGTATATATTTCATTCAATTTTTTCGAATTGAAGTCCTATTACCTCCCTTGTAATTACTAGTAGTTGTTTTTCATCACATAATTATTAACTTTCAACAAAAAATCCCGAGTAGGTATTTGATTTACATATTTTGGTTTTCAACGTAGGTTGATCTCGTCTGTGGCCCTACAGGAACTAAAGCATGGATTCAAAAGCTCAAGTAAACCAAATTGGGGTTCAAAAAACACAAATGCTATTCTATCCGATTTTGTACCCTTTTTGTACCCCTGGTTCACAAAGGCACTTCATTAAAATCGAGCAATTCATTTAATGTGTTGGACTTTTGTAAACCACAAATACAAGAAGAGGGGTATAAATGAGGTATCAAATGGGATACCTCTAGCAAAACTCTTCAAAAAAAGGGAGGGGGAATTCTCCCCTTTTTCAGATTCTATTTCTTCAACGTTATTAACACACTCTACTTTGTCTACACTTATACTTTAATACGTAGCAGTATAAGGCCGGATGTATTTAGTTGGACTTATTTGAATCACAGATCAAACCAGGCTTTGACGTTTGTAACATACATAGAAATCAGGAATTCACTAGATCAAACCATAACAGTTCAGACCAGGCCACACTAGAAAATTTCAGTCCAAGTAAAACATCGTCAATATTCTCATTATTATTGTGAAATAGTATAATGTATTATCTATGCTTTTTTTATTCAATTAAAATTTTATGGTCTGGTCTGTTTAAACCTGACATGATAGATGTCTGATCAATATGTATTTTACGATTGTCAAAATATGATCTTATCTGTTGAAGTCCAGTCTAATATGGGACTGAAATCAGTCCAACTAAAAACATCGTTAATTTTCAAAGTTGTAATTAAATTGATAAATATGAAATGAAGTTGTTACAACTAAATATGAACATAACTAATTGTCTAATTACATGTGCTGTATTTACAGGTGGGAGGGATTGACAACATTTTTGAACACAAACAGAACTGCACTATATTGTTGTGGCAGTAACAAAACGAGGGGTTTCCTAAAGTCATACAAGAACTTCCATTTCTATACTATACTTGGAGCTGGCCACTTCGTAAGTTAATTTACTACTTGTATTATACATGGTACTAGCCAACTAGGCTACTACTACCTATTACCTAGTTGGTTTCCCTGACTCCTACAACATGAGTTCGTACTTTTCTAGTTTTCTATTTGATCTAAACTTAATCTATTTTTGTAAATTAAATTTACGAATTGTGTTACAACATTTACGGAGTATTGAACTTCACTTACTTTTGTACGTGGGCTTGTTTTCAAAAGAAAATCTTGATCTCTCTCTTAAAGTGGGATTTTTACATCTCGTTTATGTCTTAAATACAAACTGCTATGCGAAGGGCCGTCTTTTATCATGTTAATTAAAATAAACAGAACAATGCCCCACCTTTCATGGGATTCCAATATTTATAAGGCACTAGTAATATTATTTTTGAAAGATACAACGCCAGATGAAAAAGGGGAAAATTATTTTCCATGGGGCCCAAATATTAAATAAATTGAAACACTTTACAAAAATGTAGAGATTAATTATTTGAAAGAGAAAAATTACTACTTGTGATTCTTTAATTGCATTATTTAATAAGTATTCAACTGATTTGAGTATAATACAGAGTAAGAATTTGGATCGAGAATAGTTTTAATTTTTTATATTAAAGCGGGGCCTCAAATTTTCATTTTGAACAGGGGCCTCCAAACTTATTAGGTGGCCCTGTAAATATAACCGCAATAAAATGGGGTTAACCATTAGGTTATTAAAATGAAAAAAAGCCAGCTAGATTAATCTAGACTAAATAAAATAAGAATGCTATTCATGCTAGTTTATTAGTTCTGAAATTAAGTTAAAACGATATGATCAATGGTATAGTAATAATTCAAGACCATTTATGTTTTGAGAGAATCAGAAATAAGACTACATTGTTTTAAACCAAGCATTCCAGCCTAGCCCGAGGTCTCGAGTTTAAAACCCGCTAGACACATAAGGGTTTAAAACTCAATGGAGTGAGTTTCAGCCCCTGATTACTCCACGTTCCCCCCCCCTCCCAGCCCCCTCCCTCAGACCCCCTGGAGTAATAAGAAAACAAAAAAAAACTACATTGTTTTAAATTTCTTAGTAAGACTATTTATGTGTGTTTGGACAAATATACCCTTGTAGCTTTTGAAATGTTTTAATTCATATTAAAATCTTAACAAATAATAAAAAATTGTAAAAAATAGTAAAAAATTAATAAAGTATTTACAAAATAAAATTTTCAAAAAAATCATTTTAACAAAAAATTAAAAAACGTAAATAAAAAAAACGCTGACGCCTCTGCTGACCCCAACACCACCGACTCCGATCACCGGAGAAAAATACCAACATGCATTAGTAATGCCATATTTATGGCAGTTTCAGTGAAAAGTTTGGCATTATCAAGAGTAATAATGCCACTTTCTTGACATTTTTAAACAAAAATAGCATTTTTCCCCCGATCGGTGGTGGTGGGGCTAGGAGGCAGTGAGAAAGGCATCCATATTAGTTTTCAAAAAAAAATGAAAATTTTGTTTTATAAGTATTTTGTAAATTATTATTATTTTTTTTACGAATTTTATTTTTTTTTACGATTTTATTATGAATTAAAACATTTCATTTTGATAGCGTAGATAGAAAGTTAATGTTTAGTCCAATTTGTGAATGATTTAGGACTGCAGTAAAATTTGTGATTTTTAAGCAAGTTTTAGTCCTATTTAGGGAAATTATTATTATGTTTTTTTTATAGAAAACATAGTAGAATTACAAAGTTGCTCTGAGCATTTAGAATATGGGATCTGTTGGTGTCTTGATTGTCTTCTTCGATCTCCAAATATGTTTTTCATTAGAATGGACTTTTGTGCACCGGTGCAGGTTCCAGCGGATCAGCCAGACATAACATTACAGATGGTGGGTAACATCATAAATTCACCTGGCACTTCCAAGTGAGCTGCAAAACTTGAAAATTATGTAATATATGGGCATCTTGAAAATATACTCGTAACATTTTGATATTAAATAGAAGTATATCACTTGAATTGGCATATCCAGGTTATTTGAAGCTGAGATTGTGCTTTCACCGTTCAAATCTTTACCCATTACCATGAAAATCATGCTACCCCCGTCCCAAATTGATTTGCAAATTTGACTTTTCTTGGTCAAACGGTTTCATTTTGTTCGCTTAATTAGGATGTCAAATTTAAATTATATTCTAATTTGGAGTATATAACTTTGAAGATATTTTAATGTAGTTTCTGAATATGTAAATTTTAATTACTAAAAATGGAATTAAATATCGATAGTGAGGATTGACTTTTATTGTTGGTTGACCAAAAAATGTTGACTTTGCAAAACAATTTGGGACGGAGAGAGTACGTATTATTTGCACTATCCATTGGGAATCAAAGCATAAAGGATATGCACACTCTACGTCTCTACATCTATGGAGTAAGAACCGTACCAGTGAGTGACCCGGACAAATGACTGGGTCACAGGTCAATCCGGATCCGGCGGGTCAACCCGGTCAATGACCGGCACACCCGGTCAACGCGAATACATATAAATATATAAAAAATTAAATTCATAAATAGAAAACTTTAACCCTTCATAATTAATTATTGTAAAAAAAAACTATTCCATTAAAGTATATTGATTTTAACACAATTTAAAATAGAGAAATGGTGTTAGATAGGACTACAGCTTTTGATATGTACGAGGATAGGAGTACTTACTTTGTAATTCCTTAGGACCAATTTTACAGAATATGACTATTTTGCCCCTAATAGAATTCCAGCATTTTTCAAAACACGTATTCGGTAATCCAGAGGACGTGTAGAAGCTTTCAACCCTCTCTCGATTTCTCTAAATCCCCAGTTCGTATACCATACGACCGGCCCACTATGAGCATAATACACACGACGTAGTTCTAGCAGTTGGTTTCATTATTTTTTATTTCTCTCTTTTTTTAAAATGGTAATAACTTTTTTATTTTTGATCCAATTTTTATAAAATTTAAATCAACATTTTTTATTTTTCATGATCTTTCAAATGAGACCAATATTGCCTATGTAATTTTAAGATATTAACATTTGCGTGTACAAATATGTAACTTTACGTGTTAAAATATGTAACTCATGTTCAGTCAGGCCAAATGCAACTCGTGTGTAAAAATATGTAACTCTACGTGTATAAATATGTAACTTTACGTGTAAATATATGTAACTCGCGTTCAGGCAGGTCAAATGCAACTCGTGTGTATATATATGTAACTTGCTTATAAAAAGATGTAAATCGCTCATAAAAAGATGTAACTCAATTATTAAATGTAACTGAGGCCACTGATCCACTCCCAAACAGATTCGATCTTCTATTTCACAAACTTATCATCTCCCTGCAATTCATATGCAACTCATGTGTATATATATGTAACTTGCATGTAGAAATATGTAACTTTACGTGTAAAAATATGTAACTTCACGTATAAAAATATGTAACCCACATGTATAAATACATAATACAATAAATTTTTTATATACACAATTTTAAGATAAATTGTGATTTACACAATTATTTTTCTATATTAAATTTAGTTCGATTTTCTTTATAATCCAATACTCATTAATATAATAGTTCGATAATTTCTTAAAATTTCATAAGCAATATTGGTCTCATTTGAAAGATCATGAAAAATAAAAAATATTGATATAAATTTTATAAAAATCGGAGCAAAAATAAAAAAGTTATTATCATTTCTTAACAACAAAAGCAAAAAAAAGAAAAAAAGAAACCAGGCACTCCGTCGTTTTGAATGAAGCGTGCGTCGTTTTGCAACCGGGCGCACCATCCTCATGGTGCGCTGGTTGCACGGTATAAATTGCGCTAAATCCCCAAATGTTCTACGAAGTCACAAGCGGCAGGCACCGACAACTACGGATGGTGGCGGCGACATACTGGACGATGAAGACAAAGCTTATTATTCTTTTCTTAGAGTAACTGCAGTCTACAACTTAATGTTTGGTTGATCATGTTCTCTACTCTGGTTTATCCGAATAACTATGACGTTAATCCAATTCCAAAGACTATCTGTGAAGATGGTAATCCAAATGTCCAAGATGGCACTCTCACCCCCTTTTTCTGGCTGGGCAACCCAACTCCTTTTCGCAGCATACTTGAAGCCGGTGTTTTGAATTGCAACCCATTTTTTTGTTTGAATTTTCATTGCTTAATTGTTTCCAAATTTATTTTCTATTCACGTTATCCTGCCATCTTTTCCTTTTCCGATTCGATTTTTCATTCCGCTTTACACATACTTAATTTCCTTAAAGAAATAATTTATCGAAATTAAATTGTGGCAATGTCATTATAAATATCAAAATCTCGTGATAGAGCTAAAAATTTATTACTCCCTTCGTCCTGAAAAGTTTGGTATAAGTTGATTTTCACGTTGAAAACTGTGTGGTTAAAATCTGAGAGAGAATTAATTTTAGCCACATATTTTTGACCAACCTTTTCGGGACGGAGGGAATACATTTTTAACGTAACAAATGGTTATGTGGAGTAGTTTTTAATATTTTTAATATTGTGACATTTTTCATATATTTTGATAATGTTTAAAATGGTTTGACATTGTTTATTTCCCAATGTTATTATAGAAATATTTGACATTGGGACAATTTTCTGACATTGTGAAATCTTCCCTACATTTTGAAATTATTTACAATGTAGTGACTTGTTTGTTTTGACAATGTTTCACAATGTGCTATTTTTACATTGTGACATGTATAATATGACAATGCAGTATGCATAATGATGACATTGTTTAAAAATCAATGTCATTAGATGACAATGTAATATAATGTCATTGTTGAACAATTAATGTCATAATTTAAAAATCAATGTCATTATTAAAAATCAATGTCATTACATGACAATGTCATAATTTAAAAATCAATGTCATCGTTAAAATCAATATCATTACATGACAATTAATGTCGTTATATAAAAAAAAATGTCATTGAAATCGATGTCATTCCATGACAATGCAAAATATGTCATTGTTCAAAACTCAATGTTATCAATGTAATATAATGTCATTGTTTAAAGTTCAATGTTATTATTGCCAAATAATGTCATTGTTATGAAAACACATTGGTTTCAATATAAAACAATAGCAATGTTTTTATGCACATGACTATCATTCACTTTATTGTGGTGAGATAAAACGAAATTTAAGCTAGAATAACATTGTTAATATGGAAAGTTATGACAATGGTTTAACAATGTCATGTAAAATATGGAGATATCATTTATGCCAATTATCAATTCTTCATCACCCACCTAAATATTCTTACTATTAGGTAGTAATTCACTATTAATTCACTGCACAATTTCCAATTAACCATCCATCTATCGCATACACCAAAAACAATATCGTATCTTCTTCCAATGGATCGGGTTTCTTCATAGCTTTATCTGCCACCTCTTATGCACTCGGGATGAAGATCTATTGATCCGAAAGGTCGTTACCAGCCTGATTTCAATGAAGAATGAAAAGTCCTGACCGTTCCCTTCAAGTCGAACAAGCGCTCTGCTCAAGGCTGATCATCAATTTTCGCCAAAACCTACGGTACTCAGAGAGCACGAGTACAAATTCTCCATCAGCGACACCCGCTGATAGATCCCTCCGCCATCCACAGCGTCACCAAAACTCTCGAATCTCACTCCCAAGGAATTACACCGGACATACCTTGGGATCAGCAAACGACGGTATACGATGACTACGGGGGCAAATAAAATCAATTCTTCAGATCTACCTAAAGATTTTATCCACCTGTGACCTGTGCACCACTATAGGCTGAGTCTGATGGCTGTTGCCAGTGTATTTAGTCGTCTCCAGGGATATATGATTCTATTGGAGAGGAGCATCGTACATGCCCGGCTTACAAACCAGGGTATAATTGTCCCTTAACCACAAAATTAGTCCTATACGGGAGTTAAAAGGATTCGACTCCTATTTTGATTCCCCACCTATGTTTTAGTCCTATTAATGTCTTTTTCCCTGTAAAATACGTTTGTGTATAGGTGGATGCTAAATATGAAACATTATACCAATTATAAAATAAATAAATAAATAAATAAATAAATAAATAAATAAATAAATAAATAAATAAATAAATAAATAAATAAATAAATAAATAAATAAATAAATAAATAAATAAATAAATAAATAAATAAATTAACAAAAATAAAGATGACACACGTAATGATTATTGAGGAATTATATAAATAGCATTTGTTTGTATGTATTATAAATTGTATTCCGTATTTTAAATTAGTTCATTAATAATCTTATTAATTAATGCAAATTATAAAGCTACCGATTCGTAATGTATAAGGGCAGCGGACAACTCTATATCTCCAACTAGCTGGCGTAGCTCATTGGTCGGGAATACAGACGTGCAGCGGTGGGCATGAATTCGAATCCGCGTAGCTCACTGGGAATACGCGTTTTCCCAGTTTTTAGAATTTTGCGAGTTTGGAACAGGTTGGTTCCGTCGCGGGTCTCACTGGGTCGCCGGTTAAGTCCGGTTTTGACCACATTTACGGGTTGAAGCCCAACCGAACCGCATACTTAGCCGGTTGACTGGGTTCCGGTCCGGTTCGGGTCTTACGTACAACACAGCTCTACATATATGTACGCATAATTAATAAGTGACTAAATCATACTCCCTCCATATTTCAATGTTCTCTACAATAGGTTTGGGCACTAGTTTTAAAAGTAAAATAGTAGGGGTAATGAATAATGTGGAAAAAGTAGGAGAGAAAGTGGAAAAATAGGAAAGAGAACATAAAAAATAGAAAAAGTAAGGGTAATTGAGTATTTTTAAAGGAAAAATTGGCCAAAAAGGGAAAGTCTAGCAAACTTTTAAATACATCCAAAAAAGGAAAGTGTAGCAAACTTTGAAATACGAAGGGAATATAACTTAGTACTTCGTTTTAACAAAACGTAAGTAATATCATTATTTAAGCATAATGTTTTGATCGAACGTATAAAATCAAAATAAACACAAAATAGTTACAGTAAGACATTTTATTAG